TTCTCTTGGACAAAAGCAAGAGAAGAAGAATTACACTTCCCAGCAAGAGCACACAAGTCCCACGCGATTGACGACCAAATTTCAGCCAATAAAAGTCAGCCACGTCAGCAGAACAACCACACCCTCAACAATCCCATTCGCGCTTTTACTATATAGGTTGATGATGAAGAAGTGCACGTGAGATTGGGAAGTTGCACGTGCATCGTGGGTCCCCCGTATTATTATGTTATTTATCGGTCGGCTTAGCTAAGTGATGATGGTATGTTTTATTGGACAAATCGGTTTGACAATTCCATTCCATAAAACTTGGTCAGACAAAATCAAAATTACCAGCACCAGCTAACCCCGCCCCTTTGCATTTTAATTCCCCCGTCCGCCCCGCCCCGTCCCGTGGCTAATTGCTTAGAATATATGTAAAAAAAAAAAAATATCACATAAATGTATCTCTGATACATGCCATTTCTCATTCTATACCTACCGTACTGACTGGACACGACCGCAGAACGAATTGTCAGAAACACTGCAAAAATGTCAGTGGGTTAGCAGCCCACAAATTTTTTTTTAATTAGTCAACACAGCTGGAGTCTTATAACACTTAAGTTAGGAAGATCAAATTTTCAAAGTGGAAATGGAAGATTATTATATTTTTCAAACTGCAAATTAGTATAATTCTATGTACAATGAAAATTCAATGCTTGCTCAAATTTTTTGAGGAACAACATGTGTAAGCTAATAGATGAATATTTATATGTAAATTAAAAGCAGTTTATACGCGACAAAATTCATGAATAAGAATCCATATATGTAAAATTAATATACATTTTTTTTAATTTTTGCTAGTAATTAGATACATTTGTGACTAACTGGTATTGAAAATTTGATCTTCCTAACTTAAGTGTTATAAGACTCCACAGCAAAATCTTTAAGTTATAAAACCAAAATCTTTGATTAGAATTAGTGCAATAAAATCGTTTAGATATCTCTTCCAGGAAATAAAGAGCAAAGAAAAGAGTGAAAGAAAGAAAGAGGGCAACTAGTGCAGTGAATTTGTATGGCTTTTCGTTTCACTTTTGCTACAAAATTCATGTCCCCAAATACATCCCATTTGCTGGCCCTTTTTTTTTGCCGTGCTGGGGATAGGCTAATTAAAAAAAAAAGGGCAAAAAACCTCAGCGGCCATTAAACTATTGTCAAGATCATATTTTGGCTATCAAACTATTTTTTGTCAATAATTGGTCACTAAACAACTTAATCAGTAGATCCGTGGCCATTTCGTCGGTAATGACGCTTAATTTCTGAAATTAGTATGACACGTGGCAAAGCACAGGGGCAAATTTGTCCTGGCAAGAAATATATGCTGAAGATCATCAATGCTGCACTTAATGAAGAGCTCTTATTCAAGATTGCTGGCCACAGCCTCACGGTTGTTGAGGTTACGCCAGGACAGACCACAAATGCCATTTTAGAGGCTGATCTTGGTACGGGCAAGTACTTGATGGCAGCCTCACCATTCATGGCGGAGCCCGTTCCAATCAACTACACGCTGCCACTGCCACTGTGCATTATTCCGGCACCTAATCATCTGCAGCCACCACATTAACAGACCTTCCACCTAGAAATGCAACTCCTTTTTCTACAACATTCGTCGACTCCCTGAAAAAGCCTCAACTCACAGAGACACCACACCAGAGTCCCTTGACCGTTGATCACTCTCCTTTTCACAATGGGCCTAGGCTTCAACCCATGTGCTACTTGCATCCATGGGTCGCGAAAAGCTGTGTACTTCAACAACATCTCATTCATCAAGCCAGAGATCTCGCTCCTTAATGCACATTTCTTTAACATCAGCGGTGTCTTCACCGATGATTCCCCAGGGAATCCGCCAATCCGGTATAACTACACCAGCGAACAACCCACGAACCTTAGGACAATGGAGGGTACGAGGCTTTACAGACTCGCCTTTAACTTGACAGTTCAACTGGTCTTGCAAGACATGGTATGGGTTTAGGAGAGCATCTCGACATTCACTGGCTTCTTCGATTTCTGACATCCAATTTAGGGCTCCCAATTGAGGCCCTATTTTTTCCTCCACAAAAGACCAAACACACTAAACCAAGATTTTCCCTTCCCTCCTCTTCGGTGGTTTAATGAAAACTAAAGTAAACGGTCAGTAAATTGTTGGACAAATTTGCCCCTGTACTTTGCCATGTGTCATGCTAATTTCAGAAATTAAGAATCATTACCGACGAAATGATCACGAGTCTACTGATTAAGTTGTTTAGTGGCCAATTATTGACAAAAAATAGTTCGATGGCCAAAATATGATCCTGACAATAGTTTAATGGCCGCTGAGGTTTTTGCCCAAAAAAAATTGTGGGTCGCTGACCCACTGATAGTTTTGCAGAGTTTCTGACAATTCGTTCTGGGACCGTGCTTAGTCAGCACGGCAGGTATAGAATGAGAAATGGTGTGTGTTAGAGATACATTTGTGCGATGTTTTTTTTTTTACATATATTCTAAGCAATTAGCCCCGTCCCGTCCCCCGCCCCGGCTTCTCCTGCTTCGCTCTGCTTCCCCCGTGAGGGCACCTGTGGGATTAAAAAAATTTATTATATAATTTTATTACAATTAAATTTGAGTAAATAATCAAGTACTAAAATATCAATACATCACCAAATTATTATTCATTGTAACTTCACAATTGAAACTCATAAAAATAATTAAACAAAGGTTATTTGAATACAATCTAATATAATAAAACAAATATAACTAAAATAATCAAGTTCTCACTTTTGATACAAATACAATCACTAAATTATTATTGTGTTTTTTTTAGAAAATAGTGTTATTGTTATTAAATATAGTTAGAAATTTAACATAAATGTATTAATAAATTTAATATAAATAATTAATAATTTTTATTAATAGACATGTATAATTAATAGTACAATTAATAATATCATTATATATATAATTATGTACATATATATTTTTTCAAACGGGATTGAGCGGGGAGTATATTTTCCCCTCCCCCACCCCCGCTCCAAGGAATCCCCGCGGGTGCTCGGCCCGTTGCCATCCCTAGCAGCAGCTGCACGGCGACAGGCACATAGAAAAGGAGCTTTCAATTCCGGGGATGGGGCAACAAGCCAAGAGCGAGGGAGCGAAAGCGAAAGACGGCCTCTCTCTCTCTCTCTCAGTCTCGGTCTCGGTCTCGGGGAGCAATTGAACCTACCTGGCTACGTTCGTTGTACTATACAGCCACTACACACTCTCTCTCTCTCTCACACACACACACACACAAAAACACACAAAGTCAAAACTCATAAGTTTCAAATTCCATAAATTTGGTCAGAGACAAAATTTACCAGCAGTTCAGCTCAGCGGCACATTGCTTCTTTTTTATTTTTTTTTCTCTTTTATTTTCTTTGGCAATACGGAGATTCGTAGCCGACAAAACCAGAAATCTCATCAGGAGAGCTTCCACTTGTTCCCCTACTTGCCCGTATCCACCCGTCCTCATCACCCTCCTTCCCTTCTTTCTCAACCTACATCATCACCTTTTTCCTCCTCTTCTCCTTCCCATCCATCGTCTATTACTAGTCCCCTGCGTTTCTTGACCGCCGCTGCTCTCCATCCCCTCTCTTTCCCTGCTTCTCCTAACTCCATGGCTACCAATTATTCAACCACCCCTGTTACTCTTCAATCCGTCAATCCAAAGGTATCCTTCTTTCAACACCCCCCACCCCCTTTTTGGCATTTATTTTCTGATTTCCCTTGTTACGTTTTTTGCTATTCTTCGCTATTTCATTGCTTCTGTAAAATTTATAATACTACCTTTTATTTCTTTGTTCTGAATCTGGGGTTTACCCATTTTCTCGTTTAAAATAACTCGTCACACTTTTGACTTTCGACTTTCGTTGGAATTTGAATTTCGGGCCTCATTTTGAGATGCTTGATCATGTATCCTTTTCAAATTGGCTGTGGGTCCGACTTAATGCTCTTTGTGTGTTTTATTCTGGATCACTTTTTCCGGCAATTGTATTTTGAATGAATGTATAAAAACGGAGATGAAATAGTGGACTATTAAGTGGTAGTTTGATCTCTCCTGACTCTCAATCCATGTGCCTATTTGATCTGTGCTCACTTTGATTAACAATACGTTATCTCCTGTAAGTGACTTGGGTTCGGCTAAGCCCAGTCCATTTGGTCATCAATAGCTTGTGAGCAACCTGGGTTTAGCTTATCTGGTTTTGTCTTGGATTTTCAAGTTTATTGATCTTTCGGAGAGGAAGACGAAAAGGTTATTTGTTATTACCTTTAGACCATCTTGCTGATCTTGTAACTAGACTTTCAATGTTAATTTTTCCAGGTAGTTTATAGTAATAACATCTCATAGTAATAACATCTTATATTAAATAAGGATATTTTAAAAAAAATTAAAAAACAACTACATTCTTCAATTGAAAAGTGAATTACAATTTGAAATAGACGAAAAAGAAAAATAGGGCTATCAAAGTGGGACGGAGTACTAATCATTTCTTTCTTGCAATTAGGTGATTAACTTTTATTAGACAAGTAGCTTACAACTTGTAAAAATTCGCAAATTGCCAAACTCCAAAGCCCAAAGCCCAGATCAAAAGTCCAAAGCCCAGAATCTTTTCCCAAAACTCCCGTCAAAGTAAAACCAAGCCATCCCTTCCCCTCCACTCCAGCTCCACTCCTGAGAAACAATCCACCAAATTCAACAGTTTTCCCAGATGCTTATGATTTCAAGAATCAAATGGGTACTCCAAAATCCCCTTTTTTTGCACCACCACTCCATCAAAAACCCATCTTTTCTCCTAAAAACACCAACAAGAAATCCTCGGTTTTTTGCCGTTAAACCCTTGTTAAACCCTCAACCTAGTCATCAGCAACATCATCACCATTGTCAGATGCGAGGCTTGAAATCAGAAGCTACTTCTGCTGCTGCTGCTGCTTCTTCTTCCGGTGAAATTCACGTGATTGTGGGGCCCATGTTTGCTGGAAAAACTTCCACTCTTCTCAGGAGGATTAAGACCGAGAGCAGCAATGGAAGGTAAAGTTCCCCCTTTCTTTCGTTTTTGTTTTTCTTTCTCTTTTTAGTTTCGTAGTTGTTTTGCTAATTACCATTTCTTGATTAGCATTGCTTTTATTCTTAATAATCCTGCATTTTTTTTGTTTGTTGGATTTTTAGTGGACACTGAATTCTCTGACGTATAAAACTTGATAAATTTCTGTATTAGTTCAGTAAATATATGCATTTTCTTTTAAATTTCCTTTTTGTTTATAACTTGTACTAATGCATGTGGTTTCCGTGCTGAGAATGAATACAAGTTTTTCCATGAGAGTAAATTTTCCAGTGAAGACTGTTTGTCAATTAGTGAATGTTTTTATGTATCATAAATGACTAAAGGCTAAAGTTTTGTCTTTTGTAAGACTCTTGGAGGGGTTTTCAAAAAAGAACTTGAGCATATTATGTGATTGTAATTACTAATTACTGGTATTAATCCAATTGGAATGAATAAATTTTTCCACGTCTTGTTCCTCTTCTTTGAAGAAGAACAAGCGAACTAGAGTTGTTCTTGCGGTCAAATTGAATCATCATTGATGACATTCCCAGTTTTCAGGCCGATGCTAGAGAGATTGCCCTTCAGTTGGATAAGAGTTTGAAGGATCTCTGTTTTTCAGGAAGAGTAGTGGAAGCTGTTCGGATGTTATGCCATGCACGGGTTCAAGTAGAATCGGAAACTTATTCTCTTCTTTTGCAAGACTGTATCTTCAGGAAAGATTATAGTTTGGGAAAAAAAATCCATTGGCAAATGATAATCATTGGATGTGTTCCCAATGAATATCTAAATGTTAAATTGTTGATTTTATATGCAAAGGCAGGAGATCTTAATCTAGCCCATATTCTTTTTGACAAGTTACAAATGAAAAGCTTGGTCTCATGGAATTCGATGATTGCAGGCTATGTGCAGATAGGGTTGGAAGAGGTGGGTTTGAGCATGTTCCATAAGATGAGAAAAAATGGTTTGATACCAGACCACTATTCCTTTGCATCAGTCTTTAGGGCTTGTGCTTCTTTAGCAATCCTGGAACAGGGCAGGCAAGCCCATGCTTTGTGGATCAAGTGTCAAATTAGTGGAAACCTTGTAGTTAATAGTGCTCTCATGGATATGTATTTCAAGTGTACTAGTCTCTCTGAAGGGCATATTGTATTTGAGAAGTTTTTAGATAGAAATATTGTTACCTGGTCGGCTTTGATATCTGGTTATGGACAACATGGAAGAGTGGTAGAGGTTATAGAATCCTTTCATAGGATGTTAGATGAAGGTTTTAGACCCAACCATGTTACATTTCTTGCAGTTCTTTCTGCTTGTAGCCATGGAGGATTGGTGAACAAAGGCTGGGAGTACTTTACCTCAATGACTAGAGATTATGGAATTCAGCCAAAGGGAAAACATTATGCAGCTATGGTTGATCTGTTAGGGCGTGCTGGTAGGTTAGCAGATGCTTATGAGTTTGTCGTGAACTCACCTTGTAAGGATCACCCTGTTGTATGGGGTGCTTTACTTGGCGCTTGTAAGAATCATGGAAATATGGACTTGGCAAAGATTGCGGCGAAGAACTTCTTTAAGTTGGAACCTGGAAGTGCTGGAAAGTATGTTGTATTATCAAATGCTTATGCTTCTTTTGGTTTGTGGGATAATGTAGCTGAGATTAGGAGTGCGATGAATGAATCTGGGATGAGGAAGGAGCCTGGTTATAGCATGATTGAAATTCAAAGGGAGGCTCACTTTTTCTTTATGGAGCATAATAGTCATGAGAAAACGGAGGAGTTACATCAGTTAATTGAAGATCTGACTTGTGTCCTAAAAGATATGGGGTATGCTCCTGATGTAAGTAAATAGTAGACAGGATTAAAGTTTGAGCTATTCAGTTGTCTATGCAGCTAATGCTATGGTTGGATCTGCTTTTTAGGAGGGGAGAACTTCTGAAAGCTTTAAATTCTTGGACTGTACTTCTTCCTCAGTGTCATGCATGCTATTCTTTTGTAATTAGAGAAGGAGATAAACATTTCTATGGTCATTATATTTCCTCTAATGGTTAGGAAAAGGCCTATATGTCAAGTCTGTTGGAAAGATTCAGAGTGACTTTGCGATTGCATTATATTAAGGACCTTTTGGAGATTGATTAAATATATTCAGATTATATGGAGGTGATGCTGGAAGTTGTTTAGGAGTCAAGCGTCACAGTGGATGTCTGAACTTTTTTATGCAGAGGTTTCTGGATTGAATGTATTGGAGTTAAATAGAAACTGACACTTGGTAAGTCATGTCCATTGAAATGCCATTTCTTCTACTTGAGTTCTTTATGTGCCTTTGATTCTATGAGTGCTTAAGGCTTCTTAGGAAATTAGACAATTTGATCTATTGCAATTTTTAGTTACCATTTTTATGGTCAATTATCGGGTCAATGCAACATTTATAACTCCGGTTCCATCTGTTTAATTAGTTGAAGGCTCTTATCTGGTGTCTAACAATCTAAAGTTCTAGAATCCTCCTACTCCCAATGTATCATTGATGGTTTGTTTGTTAAACAGATTCTCTATTGCCTGTGATGCTGATTTCAGTTGAGTGACTCTCTTATTATCTTCAATTTATAGGCCATGAAACTGTTATCTGATTCCTTGCTGGAACAATATGAAGAGGAAATTGACACGTTCTGTTGGCCTTTTGATAAAAGAAATAAGAAAATTCCTTACATCTGATTATTGTCCATGTATGAAAATATTGAAATAAACATGATAGAAATTGAATTAAGCTTCATTTGAGTAAAATTTTTTAATAAATGGTCACCTTTAATTGTTTTGTGCTTTTTTTCAGGCAGGGGTTTAGGAGTGTTTTTGTTTTGTTGGGGGGGGGGGGGGTTGGTATGGGTTTGGTTCTAGACCAATTATCTATTTGGTGATTTGTTTTATTCCTTTTGGTATTATGCTGGTAGCACTGCCATCAAGGTTGGCATTGGAGATCATGTTTTCAATTACTATAATAAATTATATATCCAAGAATCTCCTTTACACAAAACTGTTTCTGGAAATAGATTAGAACTTGATGCTGATTTAGTTAATTTTTCATTGCTGCTTTTCCTGTTTGAAACTGTACCATCTGGACAGAAATGTAGACATGACCTCTGTTTATCTTGTCCTTTTCTAATTAGTATCTTTATGCAGAAGTGTTGCAGTTATAAAATCTGATAAGGACACTAGATATGCATTGGATTTTATTGTTACACATGATGGAGAAAAATTGCCATGCTGGCCATTGGCAAATCTTTCATCATTCAGACAAAAGCTTGGTAGTGAGGCATATGATAAGGTATGCCTTGTTGAAATTGACCTTGTAGTTGAGAAGTAGTGCTGCGTCTTGGTCTGGTTTCAACTGCCTGGGCACGCATATGATATTTGGTTTGCCATATACTATTTTGCTAGAATGCTAAATGGCGACATTTTGTTTGGGTCAACCAAGATGGATGCTACACATTTTACAAGGAACATAGAACTCTTCATAATTTTGCATTGTACCATTATGGCAGTCCTATTTTGCAGTGCATCAGTACGCTTAGTAGTTGCTATTACCATGATTACAGCTAGACGTTATTGGTATAGACGAGGCACAATTTTTTGAAGACCTTTATGATTTCTGCCGTGAAGCTGCTGACCTCGATGGGAAGACTGTGATTGTTGCTGGATTGGATGGTGACTATCTAAGGTATTACTAAATATTGCATGTGGGTCCAGCTAGTCATCCGTCTAGTTTTGGTGGATGCTTCTTTTTCTTGTGGATTCAGGCATTATTTAAACATGTTTAAATTTGGTTTTCTGATGCCTGAAAGTTTCATCCTTTTCTGACCTCCCCTCTTTTGTTGTTCAGGAGAAGTTTTGGGTCTGTGCTTCAAGTTATACCCCTGCGGACTCTGTAACCAAGTTAAATGCTCGGTGTGAGCTTTGTGGTAGACAAGCTTTCTTTACATTGAGAAAGACAGAGGAGACTGAAACAGAACTAATCGCTGGGGCTGAAGTGTACATCGCCCGTGTGTCGAAAACACTATGTGAGCGGACAAGTGGTCAAAGAAGCTGCAAAGACAGCGTTAGAATCTCAAAGGGTTCAATGTGGTGCAGTTGTGTACAACATAGTAGGAAATCTGGCTTCTCATATCTCAGGCCAGAAATTTGGCATTTGCTCCCTAGATGTCTGAGGCCAGAAATTGTGGAACTGGTATATCCTTGTCTGAATATGTCAAAGCTCAGTGGTCTTACAAAGCAATAGCTAGATTTAAATAGGTGATTTTTACTCCTCAGATGTCCCTATTTTTAGAAGGACATGTACCTTGTCCAAGTTACTGATGAATTGTATTAATGCATGATTTTTGCCCTCTTCTCTTGTGTGCTATGAATGTAAATGCAGAAATGAGGCTGCTTGTGCTGGACAATAATCAGACTATGATTCATCCTTCTCGAGTTACTTAAATATATGCTTACATAAAAATGATTACATATTTTTATTCTGAATTTCGATGTCTTGTTACTTTATAATAACATGTCCTATATTATGCTAATTCTTGTTTATGTTCTATTTTTTCCTTTTTCAGTGAGTAACAAAGAATCTACAATTAATGTGTAGACAAAAATTTTTTTAACTTATTATATTTATTGAAATAAAATAAATTGGTATTGGTTTACTTAAATTAAATATTGTAAAATCCCCTAATATTTTTGGTCTACAAATGGGACCAATTTTATGTGGTTCTGAAATTAGATTAAAGATCCAAAGCTGTTGTCTTTTGTTTTCACTTTTTATTCAAAAGATAACAAATTTTTATGGTTCTAATTTGATTCTCTGGACATCACAAAAGTGTCATCTTTAATTCGTAATATTTCAGGGAACCTTTCTTTCCTCCATTTTGGTATTCATGTCCAACTATTTCATCTTGGTTCACCTGTACTTGTGTCTTCTCTTGGATGTTAAAAAAAACTAGCATTTGGATACTAGAACAGCACAGGATTGTTGGATGGCATTGCCTAAGCATATAATGTGAGCAAACTTTCTTCAATTTGATTTTTCTTATGCTTCTGCAACATTGCAAATGCTTAAGAAATGAAACTAGCTGATTGTATCTACTTTCGTGATCAAGAAACCTTGATCACGCAAACAACTTTGCCTCCCAAGTGATAATTTACAATACGAAGAAGTGATATCCATATCTGATAGTGTCCTCTAGTCCATTTTTTCTCACATGCAACTTTGCATTTTGGTTTCAGACTTGTGCAGTTTGATTATTAAGATGTCTGCCAATTCTTACTGAATCTACTTGATGAACAAAATGATCTCAGCCCACTCTTTTTGTTTTTACATTTTATTTTGGGTTGAAACCACCAGCCTTTGGACTGGTGATCACCACCAATGCATTAAGGCTTGATGCGGGTGGGTGGCAAGGATTCAAACCTTGTCTCCCACCAATTTGTCACAATTAAATGTGGCATTATTTAAAAAATCCAGACGGGTGCGTGGTGCACCCATCTGGTCTGGTGGTGTTCAGTCCCTTCCGGATTACCAGCACCTCTTCAGGCTCTCCCCCTCCCCATAGTGTAGGAAGCTATCATATCAACAAAAAAAAAAAACATTTTATTTTGGGTTGTTTTCTTTTCATATTTTCTTCAAAGCTGCTTCTGTTCTTTTTTTTTTTTTTTACCTCCATTATCAAGATGGAGATAGGCCTTCATTGGAGTTGCTTGGACCTTTTGAACTAAATTCTAGACTTCCATCCAAGCTATCTATTTTATTTTTGTTGGTTTTAATATTTGTACGTGTAATTCGGTTATTTTTTTTTTTGTTGGTTGTGATTGTAGTATTATTTGGGATTTCAATTTGATCTGCAGTGGTTCTAATATTTGTGACAAAGTGCTCCTGTTATAATAATGTTCCTTTTTCTAAAATATTTAGGAATTAAGATGATTTTATTTTTCTCGAGTTTGTTGGAAATTCCTAGTTTAGTGTGTGTGTGTGTGATACATATTTCGAGTATACAAAAAATAGCAGGACGTGCGGTGAGTGTATTTATACAAATTTTGAGTATGTCAAAGGCTACTGAAAGTCGAGAACAAATTTTTAAAAAAGGTTAGATCTATTGAGCAAAAAAAAAGAATTATAAAATAGGATTTATCTGTATTAATTCCAGCCAAATATTCACTGAATTCTTGTACAAAAAGGTAAAGCACTTTCATAATTCTTTCCCTTTTAACGCATAGATCCAGGGATAAAAGTAGATAGCAAATCCACTTGCAGTATTTTCGTAATTATTCCAACGGCTAATACCAACTGTGCAAACTCTGGAGGCTGCTCATATTGACTCTGGTGGTGGCACTCGTTTAAGTTGTAGTCTCGTGAGTTTTGAAGGTGGCCCAATCGAGCGTAACACTTAGTTCCGCACAATACTTAATTTTTTGTACTCTTTTGCATAGCTCTAATACCAACTATAATGCCCTAAATCTATGGATCGATTCAAATAACTTTAGAGCGAAATTGTGAATTTAAAATGATTAATCAAAATTATTAAGTAACCGATGGGCATAGTTTATACACATACGTTCACTTAGGATCTCTGCATTCTAGAGGGTGTCTAATTTAGTACTTAGCGTCATGCAATAGTTAACTCTTTGCATTCTGATGCCACTTGTAATGCTTCAAGTCCATAATACTTGAGTGGAACTATGAGGTCAAAATAATTAATCCGTATTATTTGATAATCCATGAGCCCAAACTAATGTACCCATCCTTTCCTCTTGTTGGTTGACTGGCAAGACTGGCTAATTAGTCCAACCAAGTGGCGAACCTTTTATGTTGATTATAAAAGTCAAAAACACTTATTATGATTTATCTGGAAAGTTTTTCCGCATGTATCTTACCATTGACTATATCAAGGTTAAAATCCAACCAGTCTTATGAATTGCTCTCCACCTTAAGATTCAAGTAATACATTTCTTGCCATTCATTTTAGGGGAAACTAAAAAGTGCATTCACATCATGACCAAAAGTGTACAAATTTATTTGCAACGGATCTTCTGTCCCACACCCTGTGCCACTTTTTATTATATTGTTATTTCTTTTACATAAACATTATGATTTAATTCTTTTTTGTTTTATTAAGATTCAATAACTATTAATTGAGTAAAAAATAAATACAACAGCTTCAAAAAAGCAATATATAATAGAAAATTAAAAAATATAGCAGAAAATTCATAAAAATCTTATTTTTTTATGCATTTTGATTTTTTGAGTTTGTTAAATTTTGTTTTTTACTCAATTAATAGTTATTGGATCTTAAGGAAACAAAAAAGAATTAAAAACATGATGTTTATGTAGGAGAAATAGTAATATAATAAAAAGTGGGACAGAAAGTGGTACAAGGTGTGGGACAGAAGATCCGTTGCGCAATTTAGAAGCTGAGTGAGTGATTTGACAATAGTAATAGTATAATGGTCAAACTTATAATATACAAATAGTAGAAATAGGTTATTTGCCCTTCACTTGGAGTAGGTTGTCTTGTAAGTACAATAATTAGTTCTTGCATATGTCTTCAACTTTCATTGCATCACATAATTTCCAGTTGAATCCATACAGTAAGTTGGCCAAGTTATATTCAACAAACTTCAATCCAAGGGTGTCGCCAGGGAATCTCTTTCAAACTTGTGCTGTAAGCATTTTTCTTTGTAGTGGAAGAGGTGTAAAAGAACATGAACTGAAGAGGTGAAATCAATTTAACCCTTCATAGATAAACTACGAATATAAAAAATTATACTTTTCCTACGTGACACTAATAAAGATGGATGGACGGTTGTATTTCAGCAATCATAGTAAGTCGAAACCTTGGATGAGTAGTTTTGAGAAATCATCCTCTTCCACCTATCTCTCCCTACAAGAGAAAATTTTCAAAAAAAGTGTGACAATTAAAAGAAATTTCAAAAGGATGATAATCTTCAAACTTCTTCTAAAAAAGTGAAAAAATATATTTACTGAATACAATGTTTACTCAAAAGTTGAGTTCACAAAGTGCATCTTTTGAAATTTTATAGGCACGTATTCCTCAAAAAATGGATTTAGTAAATACATTTGGTAAATAATATATTCTTTTTTTTTTTTCGGAATTGTAAAGAATGTATTCACTTAATATATTGTTTTGAAAATCTCAATATTTGAAAACATTTTCTAAAAACTACCACCATTTTAATTTACTCCTGCTTATAACTCTTTCAATTCTTCAATTGCTTGTCACCCAGAAGAGGCTACTTGAGAATTTTGTTTATTGCCCATTCTATCGCTGTAGCCAAGATATCAATACCACCGGCTAGTAAGACCTGACAGATAGATCTTGGTAAAGCATAACATCTGAAGCAAATGGAGACATTAATCAAGAAGAAACACGGGAAAAAAAGTTGGGCATAATCAAAAGCAAGACATTTAGCTTTCAAGACAAAAAAAAAAGATTGTTTTCCCTTCAAATCTAAAGTTTTCATGGTTATTAGCTTGGTAGGGTCAATGTGTTGCCCCTTGTTCAACTCTCAAGCCATCATCTTTTCCTTCATTCCCATAAGAGTTGAAGTCTCTTTAAAAAAGAAAAAAGAATCACTAAATCTATATGAAATGGTTTTAGGGTGTAATTACTACTGTAGCACTTTGATTGAGAATATTATAGTTTATCCGTTTAAGATTGATTTTTTTTTAGAATTATTATCAATACAGTTTCTAGTTACCTTACTACCATACATAATCCACATTTCAAAAAAGTATCATAACATTATTTTTCTACAAAACTCCTAAAAATTTCTTTAAAAAATGCAATCCAAATGGACTCTTAATTTATAATGTGCTCTCAGTTTCATATAATACACTATAAAGTTGGCAGGGCTTACAAGTTCCTAATTATCTTCTTACACTTCAATTAACTAAGAGATATGCCACAAATATTTCAAACACTGACTATTTAAAATAGGACGAATGTCGCAAAATATGAATGACACTCTGCATTTTTTTATAATAGCAGTCCCACTATCCTATTTTCATAATAAAACGCTATATAATAAAGAAGATAGTTGGAGAGTTGTCATACAAAAATAGAGTGCTATTAACAATTGCCTTAATATTTTGTTACTATAACAATTTTTTTTTATATTAGTAGGTTTGGATGCATAGCAAATATGCAAAAAGGAGAAATTCAAATTTGAATGTATGTTATATGTCATGCATCCTAACCTTTTAATTTTCTCCACATACAAAAGAGATGGAAGGGAAATAAAAAAATAAAAAAATAAGAAAAAAGATGGAAGGGAAATGTAAAACAAACAAATAAAAAATAAAAATATTAGACGTTTTTTGACTACATATATCAATATAGATTTTTAAACCAAATCTTTAATGGTATTCTCATGTTCTTATTTATCTATTTTTATTTCAGTTTCTTCTTTTTCATGTTTAGAGGGGAAAAAAAGAAGTAATGAAAGGATAAATTTGTCAATTTGTTAGTTTGACTTTGACAATGGCTATTTTCAATCTTTGAAAGAAGCTTAAAAACTCATGGGTAATTTCCATCTTCACTTGTATTTGATCTCTGTGTCATGTGATTGGATGGCAATAGGCCGGTTGCATCTTACCTATTGATTTGCATTTTAACACGTAATTTCCTTTTCTTTTAATTTTTCACGACTTACCTTCAATTTAGTTTAACCTAAGTGTCTTTTTTTTTTTTATTGGGTTTTTGCGTTGGTAGACAATCACCAATTTTGCGCTGAAGAACAAACTGCATTTTCAATACCCTTATATGATAAAAACATTCCAAAAATCTTATAAAAGCAACTCAATTGATTTTCCCTCATCTTTTTTTTTTTGTCAACACAGGGGTGTCCGGATCAATCCTTACGGGGCCCGACTAATCCCCTGCGGTCCGGGAGAGGAGGCCCCACTCCACACCGAACACGTTAACAGCGGGACTCGAACCCTAAACAAACCAGGAAGGTCGCCATACCCTAAGGAGGGGGAGCGGACCGCTCTAGCTACCCCTTGGGGCAATTGATTTTCCCTCATCGAAGATACTTTTTTTGATAAATTATCTTAACTCTACATGTCTTTTGACATTTCATTTGAAATGAAATTACATTATTATTATAATTGATATATAATTGAACTACATTTTTAGCATCGCCATCGTACACTTCTGGTGGTAAGCATATGAACGAGAAAGTGACCAAGTAATACCCTGAGAAGATGCACTCCAAGAACTAGTACCACAACGCTTCTATTGACCATTCCATTTTCCAAGCAACAAAGAAGCTCTATGACAACATTTCGATCGATATTATAGATGAAGTAAGGCATGAAACACAAGTGACTGTTGGATACTTGACACCTATGTGTATTGCTATTGTAAGTGCATTTCTTACCTTTCATGCATTAAACTTTCTAGTTTTTGTACCGACAAATTGTAAACATTTTTTTGACAGTTGCTATATTTGCCATGTTTGGCCTTCTGTTGGACTTTTCAGGGGTTCTCGCCTTTGGATCTTTTATTGTGATTCTGCTTTATCAGATAAGGCAAATTGATGGAATTATCAAAATTTTCTCAATTAACAATTGATGGGATAAGTAGCATAGGAATAGGACCTGTGGTTCTGAGAGAGAGTTGAAATCTTTTTAATATGTTGAATTATCATTTAGACTTTGTCGGTTTTTCTCTTCTTGAAGCTTTTCTATCACCATTTAAAATTCGATGATATTTTTTGATATTTATACGTTCACTAACACCAATAGATTTTGTGTACCTCAACCAATATGTTTTTCGCCTCCTTATTATATAGGTATATCTTTTGGTTTTTATCACCTAATTTTATAGATTTGTTTTTTGACTTTCCTAAGTTGAAGATTGGGGGACCGAAGAAAAAAACATGCCATCTAAGATGGCCTGACTTTTTTGGTTTTTTTTGGCACAATCAGTTGTATAATTTTGGGTGAATTCATAATTTGTTTATCGAACCCTAGCGAAGGTAGCAGATGAAGCGATAACAACAAATGAACTTGTAACAAGCCAATATGCAGTGGCAATAGTCACGGCCAAGATTGCTCACTAGAAGGCTAGAAGGCCCCGTACAAAACTTGGATGGAGCTAGGTAAAAATGCATTATTAGCTTCAATTTTATTTGATACCCTCGCATTACAATCTAAGTTATTAGAAGCAGCTTAAATTTATATAACTATTTTAGTTGAGACTAGGGTGCGCTTGATAAAATTGAAGTATGAATCCCTTACTATGAATAATCAATTTTTCCTATTACCATTACCCAAACTTCCCTCTCCTAACGTTTCCTGGAAAAAAAAGAAAAAAAAAACCCAAACTTCCCTAAAATTTCCACGTAGGGTACTACTATTGATCAGGCCCCATTTCTTAAATGTCGAAGGCCAGCTGCAGCCCATTTGTATTTCTAGCCCATTTACCTTTCTCCCCCAATTAAATCTTAAACTTAAACCCAAGAAAAAAAAAACAGAAAGGCAAAGAAACAGACAAATTTGAAATTCATGGCAACGAGCGGGGCAGCTACCGGCGACATTTTCCGGCAAGAAAAAACAGCGGAAAGGCCGACAGCCACAAGAGAACATAAATGTCTCCGAAGCTAGTCGGATTAACATCTCGCAAATTCTCGAACAGTTTCGCGCTTCCAACGAGCTAGGTAAGATGAAAAGGATTGGCTTTTTAATTTTTTGCAGGTTTTGGTGGATTAGTATTGTTAAGACCTTATGATTTCTTTGCTTTTACTTCTGCTTGATGATTAACCCAATTGAAATGGAGTAAGGTCTTCCTGTAGGAGGAAATATCGTATGAAAATGGGTGTTTTTGAATGGTTTGAGTTGATTATGCGATGGAAAATTAGTGAGAAAGGTGCAGTTGGAGCCCTAATTTATAAAAAGGTGAAATTCTAGACTGTTTAGTATCTTCGGTACCAGAAACTGAAATTAGAACCACTGCTCTTTTGTAACAAATAGCCTGAAAATTTAGCATATTGATGTGAATCAAGGCCTAATCATGTTATTTTTCCTTTGAAGCTCTTATTACGTAGTATTTGCTAGATTAACTGGAAAATTGTACAATTGACACGCTTGGAGTTGTATTTAATCAAAAGGGTACAATTTTCGAGTATATATTTTAAAAGGCATTTTTACTGATTTGTGTACGAAATGCCGAGTTTCTTTTTTTTTTTTTTCGTTTTTGGCGCACATGCAGTAGTTTTTTGTGTCCTCTCAATTAATAAAGTCGTGACGTGCACATTGATGTAAATCAAGGCCTAATCATGGTCAATTCACCTTTTTTTTAGTTTGTTAATTACCAAGTATTTCCTAACTAGATTGAAGGGAAAATTATGGAAACGGCACACTTGGTCTTTTATTTTATTTTATTTTTTGTAACAAATGGGGCACAATTTCTGGGTTTATATTTTAAGGGCCATGTGTACTGACTTGTGTACGCAATGTACTTTTTTTTTTTCACAAACATATAGTAGATTGTGCCCTCTCCATTGATGTAAATCAAGGGCTAATCATGTTGACTCACTTCTATTTGTTTTTTAATTTCTAATCACATGGTATTTGCTAATTAGAATAAAAGGAAATCCTATAAATGGCATACTTGTGTCTTTTTTTTTTTTTAAATAAAAAGGGCACAAATGTTACATGTATTTTAAAGAGCTGCTCTGATTTATGTATGGCATGTACACTATTTTTGTGCACGCATGTTGTAGTAGATTGTGCCCTTTCACTAATTTTTCCTAGATTAGAGCAAATTTTATTGTTCCATCTTATGTTTCAACAATTTGAACTTGAGGAATGTGGTGCATGATAATATTGAGAGTTACTTTATGATCCTTGAGCTACTGCATCAAAATGTAATGTATGGTTTTCACTTGGTATATTTGTTTGTTGTCTGTAAGAATAAGCACCTATAGCAGGATAAAGCTTACCACTGTGCAATGTTTTTAGTTACTCTGTCAAATAGGAGAACTGAAGATCTAGCATCAACTACATTTGAGTTAAGCTAGGTTTGTACTGCATATGCGTGGAGAAAGATTTACTCATTTAAGTTCTCAGACGATAGATGCATAGCTTTTTCTCTATGTAATTGATGATTTTTAAGGAAGCACTTGATTTTATGTTTCAAAAGTAAAAACAGATTTGAAGAACATATTGTGGAAAGAATATTTGCTTGTGAACAGTTTCATCATAAATGGTAGATGACTAGACATATGTCTCTGCCATTTGCATATGCTTCCCATGTTCCCATTTTGTGTAGTGCCATTCAGAGAAATAATTTGATGATCCATTAGTTGTTTAGTCAAGTGCGGGGAAAACAAGAGCACCAAGCATATTGAATACTTAAAACTGTTGTCTCATAGATGCTTTACTAAAGGATCCAGAAGATCACATAAATATATGCCACGAATTGAGAGTTCAACTAAGTTGTTTTAGGAAAAATTACCAAGTTCTAGGATGATGTCAAAATGCTAAGACAATTAATGCAGTTACTTTATGTATGTAAGCTAAGCTATGCGGTATTTTGATAACATATTGCTACTTGAAAGTAAATGTCACACACACGCACGTGCGTGCACGTATTACACAAAATAATGATTCATTGGCCAAGGGATGAGCATCTCATGCTCCTGTAATCAGTAAATAAAAGTGAATTGACTGTTTTGCATGCCAATGATCACAACCAGAATGTGCTAGGTCAAATCTAGGCACTGCATCAAGGATGAGCATGTTCTTTAAAGCAAGAAATGGGCACCCACTAGTGTGTTATTGTAAACTGTGAACTGGACACCTTTCTAGTTATGAATATCTCAAACCTTCTTGTCTGTTAGTATAAAGCCCCACTGTGAACTGGACACCTTTCTATCCACTATAGCTGGTTTGTCCTTTGCAGATTGAGGAACTAAATTTCACTAAATTTCGAGATTTATAATTTACTCAACATTTTCCTACTGCTAGAAAATGGTGTCCCTGTCAATCCTAGATTAAATGAGAAAGTCTATCTTCCTTTATTTTTTAAATATTTTTTTATTTGTTATTTTTTTAGCTTTTTTATTTTTTAAATATGCTGTTTCTGACTCTGGAGCGAAAGGAGCAGATAACTTTGTACCAATCATAGAGAAGGAAGCAAGGAAAACATCTATCAATTTATGAGTAGTCTGTGCATGACCTTGTGATAGTCTAAATATACTTGGTTTGTCAGGCTGTATCTGAACTCAAAAAACATTGCTTTGATATATAATAATCTTTTAACATCAGCAATGATTTTTCATTTGATTGTCAGGTCTGGGTATGAAGTTGATTGAGTAAAAAGTAGAGTTGTAAATTTTGAGTTCATTAGGAGTGGAAACTTGGGGCAGTGGCTTCCATTCCCCCTTTTTTTTTCCTAGTTGTTTTAAGTTAAGTTAAGCTCAAAGCTATGTGCACCTTGTTGATCTGAATATTCACATATGAAATGAAATTCCATTTTCTATGTTTGAATTGTGCAGTGTACACATTTGATGTCAACCTGACAAACCGTGAGCGTGCTGCAGTGCATACATTATGTAGGAAAATGGGTGTGAAGTCCAAAAGTTCTGGGTCAGTATTAGTCATTTACTCCTAGTTATGATTTTGCTGATCTCTTATTATTGTAGACTACAATAGTTGATAATTCACACTTCCATTGAATATTTTGTTTGTTGGTTCAGTTAACTCTTCCTGATTGAAAGGTTTTTACATCAATGAACTTACATAGTGCAGGCGTGGGGATCAGAGGCGAGTTTCTGTTTATAAGACTAAGAAGAAAGTGGATAGCACAAACGAAAACCTTACCTCTTTCACATTTTCAGAAGAGGCTAAAGATATATTACAGGATATGTTTGTGCGCTATCCTCCAGATGATGATGAGATGAGCCAATATATTTCTGGAATGCATAATGAGAAAGCTGATAAGGTACGAGGGAAAAAGATGACATTTTTAGTAAACCTTTGCTAAGCAAGTCAGAGATTGCCAAAAGGGTTGAAGCACTTAATTCCCGGGCAGAAAAGAACCAAAACCTAAGACAGGTTCTTGATTATTTGTTTATGATTCCCTTACATACTTGTTATCTTGATTGTAATACAAATGAACTTGCAAGGTTTGGTCCTGATAAAACTTCTACATCTTATGCTTTATTCTGATGAATGCTCTCAGATAACTGAAGGAAGGGCCAAGCTTCCAATTGCATCATTTGCAGATATCATTAAATCCACTGTAGAATCTCATCAGGTTTTCTTCTGTCCAATGTGCAATTATCAATATACATACATATATATACACACACACACACACACGTGTACATACAATACACACACACGTATATATATATATGTATTATATAAATGTATATATATGATTCAGATGCTGTTTTGTGATTCAGTAAGTGCAGTATTATGTCTACATCTCTTTCTAAGGAGTCTTTTTTGCATGTTTCAAAAGCAGGTGGTTCTTATCTCTGGTGAAACTGGATGTGGAAAAACTACTCAGGTTACTGAATGTTCCTGTCTGTATTTACTGCCTGCATTCTTTCCCAAGGCAGAATGGGATGAAAATCTTCATGTGTGATTCTATATTTTCTGTGTGCACACTGTTTTCAGCATCAATGTGTTCAAGTTCTTTACTCACAACCTTTCTTCTCAAAAAATTATGCCTCATGGAAACACAAGGGTTGGAGAATGATCTTTCATCTTTTTAAAGCATATTGTTCTCTATTAAGCAGACTGAAGGCTATCCTCACTGACTTGAACATAATTCAAGAGTACAGCATGGGCCTTTATCTTTCTTTATGTGCATTGGTTTGTCAGATGTCTTTCTTTTCGTCTCTTGGTTGGATTTGGAGGTTGGAATGCAGGAGCAGAGAAAAACAATACACGAAGATCTATTAGGGGGCTCTAAATGTAAACATATTTTAGCACACAACAGTGACTTTTAGGGAAACAACATCTTTTGATGTACCAGAATTAGACTTCACCAGTCACCATATGTCTTTTCTTGTTACATGTGAGAACAATAAGGATTGTTGAGTATATTTTAGATGATAACTTGTTGCATTCCTCATTTTCTCTTCCTGATTTTTGATGACAGAAAATAATTTGTAGCATAAATCTAAATTAAGCATTCTCATCCAGAGTTCCCAAGTCACTAGATCTGATGAAGCTGAGTAGCTTCCATAGTCTGGTATATGGTATTATATGCTTGCAGTACCACTTTTATGTCAGTTTTACTGGGACATGCTTTTGGTGGATCACTTCTCGTCATATTATGATTCAGATGATTTGCCTGATGTAGAATCTCATTCTTTGCTTTCCCAAATATGGTATAGGTCCCCAGTTTCTTTTGGATCATACGTGGAGTAAAGGGGAGACATGTAAAATAGTCTGTACACAGCCACGACGAATTTCTGCTACATCAGGTAAGAGATGTGTTTTTTTTTTTTTGCATATGGTAACTTGTACTGAACAAACTATTTTGAAGTTCATTCTTTCTCCACTGGACATGAATGAGTGCATTTTTTGTATGTAGTTGCTGAGAGAATTTCTGCTGAAAGAGGTGAAAATGTTGGAGATACTGTTGGCTACAAGGTACCACTTGTATTCCTTGCTCCTTGCAATCTGAATGAGCTAATGTTGATTGATGGCCAGTTCATTCTCTGCAGAATGTGATTCCACAGAATTTAGTTCAGAACTGATGTCCTGAAATATAGAAAATGTTTTCATCTGTACCATGGAAACTTGTAATCGAGAATGATCCAAACAGAAGTATCTGATGCACTTTGGTGCGAAATTTATGACTGTCCTGATTTCAATACAAGTTGGATTTTATTTGACTAAATTGATATTTGTTCTGATCAAACAACTTTAAGGTTAAAATCTTATGGATTGCTTATATGCCTATTCTACCTACATATGTAGGAGTGCAAATGTATACAAATACGACAAGGTATAAGTAATACAATAAAATATGAGATGCATCCTTTTGTAATAAGGCATATATGTATAAGGTTAGTACTAAAGTACACTGTTTTAGGACCAAATGACTCCTATTTTTTGTATAATTTCCACTTTGAATTAAGTACTCTGATCCTTGCTTGTATAATGGAAGATATAGATTGTTTAGTTTTGTTCCTAGTGCTTAAATTATTTGAAAAAGCTAATAATTCTCCACACATATATCTAAATTGGATAATTTTGTGTAAGCCGAAATTCTGTGGCTTTGATTGTTTTCTTCACAAGTTTAGCTTATTCTACAGTGGTATTAGGATGAAAGAAGTGGTGAGCTATTGTAAAGGGTTAATGGACTTTCCCTTTTCGTGAAGGTGGTGGGGGCACTTTGAATTGTAGAGGAAAGCTTTAGGACTGATGTCTTAGAAAATTTGATAGAACATAAGGTTCTTTAATTTCTCAAAAGAAGTCTTAGTGTCATATTGCGACAATGTTTTATTAGTATTATTTCAGGCTGGCTAGGATTTGATGTTACTAAATCTTGTGTTCTGATCTCTAAGGAGAGGAAAAAGAATTTATGCACACTCTTAACACCTGCAATCTAAACTATATGATTTTGATTGTTTTTCCAATTGACTACTTCTAAGTTTTCCTTGTAATTTTATCCACTAAAGCAATAAACTTTACTTTTAAGCTTTTGAATGCCCCTACTATTGTATACATTCTTATGCTTAATCAACTATAACTTCATATAGTTTTTCTCGATGGCCTCATCTGGTCTGCAAGGGTTCTGACCTTGAGAGTCAGAGATGATTTCTGATTTGTATATTCCACTGTGAGGGTATTTTGATTCAGGAAATGGATTTTATTTCCCTAAACTAGGAAAGTGGTGTTACATGCTGGGGAATCCTAGTTTCATGGTTCTATTCTCACCTCTTTCCTTGGAATTTGAAAGAATGTGACTGAAGACACTATTTCACATTATCAATTCCCTTTCACGTCACTGCTTCTGCATTTGTCTCTCTCTTTTATCTTTTGTATTGAAAAAAAAATGTTAGTACGCCTCGTGGGTGACATCTAAGGTGAACACATCACATAGAAGTTTCAAGAGTACAGGAAAATACTCCACCGCAAATAAAACAAACTATAACTACTGGAGAAATCTGGATGGGATGCTCAAAACTAGGTGTGCTTAGAATTTAATGCCAAAACCTGAAATGATGCTTTGCCCTACTGATTGAAAATCTGTTGCATGTCTAGTAATGATGACGGGATTAAAACTTAACAATATTGGCCAGAATTCAAGAACTCTTTGTTGTTTCCAGTGGTATATAATAGCCAAACCTCATGAGCTCTATTCTTTCTGAGTGTTACACAATTTCTTCAGTGTGTTGTTATTTTGCTACTCTTTGATCATTTCCATATTAAATAGATGAAGTTCATTGTGTTGAAAGATTTTGATTTTTTATTTCAATCAAAATCTACTCTATTCAAGTTGATTTTGTTTAAAAAGCAATCATCCTCTCGCTGGGGCTTTTTTTTCAGGATATCATTTTTATAATTGAGAATTTGGATGGAAACTTGTATGGGTGGAAACAAATTGCAAGAGTGGCTTTCTACCTTCTTTAAATTTGATGCACAGCCAAAAGGTGCTTGTGCAGCCATTGTAAATTACATTAACCTTTTGAAGTCCAAACCACTTTAGAGTTTTATCAAGTGATTTAAGGCAATATGGATTCTCACATATGAAGGTCCAGCTCTAGTTATTTACTGATCCCAAAATATAGGGTCAAAATCTAGTTGCTCTGCTGCTTTTGTCTACACTTGATGTGAGGGCTTGATATGCTTAGAGGATTATAGTTTTTAATCTTTCCATTGGTAGTGTATAGTTTACAGGAAAATGGAGGTTGATGAGGAACAGTTACTTTCATTGTGTTCTTATGAAAAAGTTGGTGATATACAAACACGTGGTGATGACCAGTAACTCATTTCTTCTATTATTTTTCTTGCCAAATAAATATGTAAAGGGTGTTATTTTCAAGCTCCTTACTCAAGAGAAGCCCAAAAATATCTTCTGCTTGCTTCTTTTCTTTTTCCACAATATTTTAGTTCTTAATTTGAACTTTTATTAAACATAGATCATTTACCGAAGATTTCTTTACCATTTTTTTTTTTTGAACGAACACTAAATAATCCAATAATCTTCCGTTGTGATCACGGAAACTTCTTGTATTCATGTTCTGTGGAAGTAAATTCAGAGAAATTGACTTTCTTTTTGTATTCAGGCTAACTAAAAGATGAAAATTATTGACATTAATCCTGCATTTCATACTTTTGAGTTGCTCATGTCCTTGCTAATATCTCTTGGATGTTCTGCTAGTGTAGTGGTCTTGTAAGTAAAGTAGTGGGAAAAGCACACTGGGTATGCAAAGTAATAAAAACTTAGAAGTTTTGTATAATATAATACAAAAATGGTAGAAGTTAATGGGTCAACAGGGGGAAAGAAAAAGCAGAAGTTATTGGAAGTTTTAGCTTTTCTTTTTGAAAATAAGTTATTGTACGTCAAAATAATAGAAGTTATTAGAAGTTACTAAAATTATTGTTTGTTGTGGTTATATAGCACTAATCCTTACCTATATAAGTGTAAAGATGGAATAACGAAAACTGAGAAAAATTTAACACCAAAATCACCCCTTATGCTTTATTATAGGAAGATATCCTGGGAGAATGGCGAATTGAAAATTGAACTTGTTAAATCAGGTAGCAGCAGATTGGACAAGCTGAATCTAGCAAGCCGACAAAAGGCTAAATCCAGGTCACTTGAGACAAGTTACTCACAGTTTATGAACTGAAAAAGGGCTAGATGAAGTTTGAAGAAACATTCGCTTCTCTGTTGCTTGGTTTACAAAGGTTGATTAATGTTCTGATAGCAACTTGTGTTTTATGATGCTGGATATCATGCTGAAGATGACTACTTGGGCAACAGCTCTCATTCATTTTCAACCTTTTTTGTTCAGTCACAGAATAAATGGCCTAAAAAAAAAAATCGTTCAACTGAATTAGTCATCAGACTCATTGTATAAATAAAAAGCTAACACTAACTTCTGCAATGATGATGTTCAGCTTTTCTCAGCATATTTAATGCATGTTAATAGTTACTTAGATGTTCCGCTTGTTTCAACTTTATATGTTTTTGTCCCCTGTACATCTTTTAACATCAAGTACATTTCTGGAAAATGCTAGATACGGCTGGAAAGCAAAGGTGGAAGGCATTCATCAGTTTTGTTTTGCACCAATGGCATATTATTGAGGGTTTTAGTTTCCAAGGAAGCAATAGGATGAGCAAAAATGATTCCAAAAAAGTTGCAAAGGATGAAGCATCTGATATAACTCACATAATCGTGGTTTGTCCTTTTCCAAACTTATTTCCAGACTACATGCTACACTGCGCTGCTTGAAGTCACTTATCAGAATAGAATTTTTTTACACCTGTTTGGAGAAATCTAAGAAAATATCAAAAGCTTTTTATGCCTTCATTCTTGTCATGGTCAACTGTATACCATCTTCTTAATAGTTGCATCATCTACATTTAGCTGCTATCACCAGAGCTTGTCAAATTTGAAAATTTTGCCTTGGTGAACTTTTCTTTTGTTTTTGATCATCAAGTGCAATAGAAAAGTACATTTAGTACAATTTCCTAACTATTAGAGGAAATCTTGTTTGAAACTTTTGCTGGATGCTATGCAACTTATTTTTGATGCTTTGGTCATGATTGTTGTTTTGTTTGCTATAGCCCCATAAGAAGGTTTTTTTTAATTATTATTAAAAATCACTGCATAGCTTAGATACTTTTGCATTCCATGCACCATGTCAGCTATTCATAGCACATAGCACTAAAGTGTGCACTCTGTAATTTTGGAGATGTTTCATCTACGCATTCAATTATTTCGAGTTTTTAGTCCAATGGGTAATAAACTGGTTGTACATCACCTATTATGTTGCATTATATTGACCTAGAACAATTACCATATAGACAAAAAGAAGATATTCACTGCAGCAAATTGAAGAATAAAAGAGTGTATCTGTCAAATCTTTTCTCCCAGCATCCCTCGTAATTCTTTCCCCAAACCTCAACTTAGGCACATGCTGTGTCTCTCCTTTTCTTCTTCAAACCAAATGTTCTCCTCATGGACAAATAAGAATAATTTGCATTTATGAGGATGCAGCGGAAGAGAATGAAGATGAAGAAGTTAATTGTTATAATTCCAGTTATGATAAAGTTGAAGATGACTTTACACAAGATGGATTAGGTGACTAGTACTCTATTATAAGATGCTGGGTGCATATCTTAATTTCTTTGAATTGACTCTATATCTCCAAAAAAAAAACTCAAGGGATTCTATATTTATTTGACTTGTGTGGTATTTATTTGTGTGTCTGTCTTATTTTTTGTCTGCTTTTATGATCTAGAACATTGATTACTCTATATTTTTAGACAAGAATATATTGCTTTTTGTTGCAGAATTTCTCTGTAGAAATAATACAGATCTTGCACATTAAACCCAATGGGCACTACTATAATGCACTATGGGCAACTAACAAATTGGGCTTTGCTAGCCATTCAATATTTTGTAAATCCTCTGCAGTGTAACATACTGGAAATTACCTTTCAGCTACAGTCTCCAGCGAAGTGTCCCATTTAGTCTTTCAAGTTGGAATGTGACTAATAGTTTCTTATCTTTTAAAAGTTTGCCAATTCAGGAGGATTGGTTACGTAGTTTTTTAAGATTTCTTTCCTCCAGTGGGCACTTAAAAATCTAGTGATTATTGAGTGCTTTGATCTGTTGAAATTTAATTGAAAATTTTCCAATGATGAATTGACTAACTTCAAAAAGTTAATGACTACATGCGTCAAAGCACAACCTGAGGAAATTATATCAGCACATGCTCCGACTGTATGGTGCTAAACTTGCAGTGCTTCCACAAAGAATGTGAAGAGTACATACTGATCATTGAAAAGATAGATTTCTATTATGATTCTGCTAATGTTTGAAGCACTAAATGTGAAATTGCTATCTATTTTGAATGTGTATCTGTTTCTATGAAAACTTTGGACAAATATGCATATGACAATAGTTTCTGATGAAGTTACAAACGATGTTGAACCTCTGGCATTATAGCAAGAAGGTGTTAATCAAGTTAACTGGTTACACTTCTAAGCCCTTGCCTGTGGGCAGAATCTGAACTAGCTTTATTCATTTGTAGCAAGAAGTAATTTTGCACGCCAGTGCCATGCATTGATTCATTAAATAGAATTTAATGTTCAACTAAATTTGCTCATTAAATGGGGCTGGACATTTGAAAGTGCACTATGGCCTAGGCCCAGAGATTAGCTCTGTTGTCTTTACATATAGTGCAATGTTGGATGTTGCCTTCTCAATGCATCTATTGATTTTACATCAGATACAATGGAATATTCTTTGCTTTTTGGTTCACATTGGAGGTAGTTATATGATATTTTTTACTCCATTTAACATTGGAAGTTGTTGGTTATTTTGTAATGCTAAGGTTACTTGACAGTTTAACAAGTAACTACTTGTGTTTTAAACTTAATTAGTATAAGAAGCCTCTGCATTATGCTGATTGTTAATCTTTCTAGTTTTAAAGTAAACACATGCAAGAATATCAATTTTTGTCTGTTCCTTTTAGTCTGTTGGATTTGTAAGTTTGCTTTCATATCTTTATATGTTGTATTAGATTATTTGTAATCCAGGGGCTGTTGGCTACAGATTACATACTAATGTTGTTTGGATAGTTGTTGTACACAAAATTTTTTGTAAATTAGACTGGTGTGTATCCTGTTCGCTATAAATGTCGAAAAAGATTTAAATCACATACCATTTTTACCAACTGCTAAAGCGGAGGAGTTTGTCAGGTTTCTTCCGTCTTAGTTCCTTCAAGTCATTGTCATTGGGACTTTATTGTGTGAACTGCTTGTCGGCTCAAAGTTTGAAACCAAATGTTAGGGAATGGTTTTAGTGGGTTATGGTAAACATGTATGGTCAGCAAGCACAATCATATGACTGATGTTAATTTATGTTTATGATTCTAATGGTTATTTCCTTGGTGTAGTCTCTATCTATATTGACGGTTGACTGACAGGTAGTAATATATACCTCTGGAGCTATTCCATTAGATTTACTTCCATCAGCCAAAAGTAGGATTTCCATTCGCTTTATTGTTAATATAGTTGGGATTCTTATTAATTATTCTTACTTATTGAACATCAGAAAGTGGACCGTTACGCTAGGATATAGTTGCATCAGTGGAGGATGCATCTATAAAAAGTGACGTTGATATGTGTTTATTTGTGTTTTTGAATTGCTCTTTTTATTTTATCACTCTTAAAAATCTGCCCCAGTAACATTGTTGATTTAACATTGTAGGATGAGATTCATGAAAGGGATCGGTATTCTGATTTCATGCTGGCAATTCTCAGGTGCCTTATTGAAGCTAAGATTTTTTATTTTGAATATTTGCACTAGTTTTGGTCAAGTCAGAGTTATATTATATACTGATTGAGGGGAATCTCTTCGTAAAATGCTTGACAATTGGCTGATC